ATATTTTGCGTTAAAACATGGATTTTTGTTGATTTTTGTTGATTTCTGTGGTTTTTCAGCGGTTTGGAGTCGGCGCCGTTTTTGGCCATTTCTGGCCATTTTTGGCCGTTTTTGTGTCGATATTTCAATACTTCTTCTACTGATACTTAAAGAGGGCCTCAATATCTTTCGAAAAAAATCACAATTTATGTAACTGAAACAAAAAATACGCCGAAAATATGTTAAATATTCAATATGCCATATTTGGTCAAAAACAGGCCAACGAGGACTGAATTCGATGATGCATTGCGGCCGATAGAAACAAATTTGAGATACAGATTTTTGCATACCACCCTAAAATTGTATGCTCTTTCCATTTTCGATTGGAAAATGATATGTTAATAACGTATTTTTTCAAGAAAAATTACTATTTTCTTCAACATTTCCGATTTTTCAAAACATACTGGCCGGCGCCATTTTTGGCCAAGCCAAATGATATTTTTGTACAAAATTCATGTAGTGTCACTAAGGGGACCTCAATACCTTTCAAATAAGCCAATATTCATGTAGTTGTGATCAAAAATACGCACGCAATAGCCTAAGATATGACCACCTTGCCATAGTACGAATTTTCGGCCAAAAATTCGCCGATGGCCAAAACTTTGGCATAGAAGCCGAATTCAGAAAAGTGCTTCCTAAATTTTCGATAGGGTTTGGCCCCAGCAATACGTGGTTAAAATATTGGCACGCAATTCTGTTACACCCTGTATAATTATTAATACTATATTATTAACTAGGCGGTATTAACAACTGATACGTTATTAACATCGCCTGTTAATACCAGTTAATACCGGTATTATCATACTAATATATTATTAACATGCGATGTTAATACCGATAGTATGATCATACTATATTATTATGATTTTCATCAAAATATTTTATTAACATCCATGTTAATAATTATTAACATTTCTGATGATATTTATTAACATCTCTGTTATTAATATCTTATTAACAGCCGATAATATCGCAAATTTTCCCATTTTTTGTCGCGGTTTTTCACGGTTTTCGCGGAACTGATAGGAGATATCAACTTGGTGTCTTCGGCAAAGTTGTAGTACTCAAGGTCCCGAGCTATTGATGACGTCACTCGCATTTATCACATGACGCAAATTAAGTGATAAGGAGCTCGAATTTCGATGTGGCGATAACACCAATGGATTGGGCAAAAAAATACTTTATGAGAATTGAAGAAAATGATATATTGCAGTTTTCATAATTTAAAAAAAAACACAAAATGTTAGATTCAAAAAAGAAACTGGTTCGTGGCAGAATTGTTTTTTTAATTTTGCGGACCATACTGAGAAAATGTTTGCGTTCGAACAGAAAACTACACTGAAACAGAAGTCGATTCGACATTAGCTGTCAAACCGGCAAGATGAACAAGTGCGTTTGTAAAGTGAGCGTGTTCACTCCGTGTCAGCAGGTTCTGGACGAATTTCATTTTGCAAATGATATTGTTGTTAGCGTAATGATAACCCCGCGGTTTAAAGCCAATAAGAATCGGTTTACGGGTACCTCTCATACAAAATTGTCGAAGTTTTAGTTAAAGTGACCGATTTTTCACTTTATTTTCATTATTATATTTTTACTGCCTTTATTTCAAGAAAATTCACAAAAAATAACCAAAAATACCTACGGACAACGCAGGCGAACGGTACGGAAAAGTTTGGGATTACCAATGTAATTCTTTTTATCTGAAATAATTCACTATTTTCATCAATTTTTCGTATTTTCCGGTATGGGTTTATTTTAACCCCTTCAATCGAACTTTTTCGGTGTTTTTGGGTTGGATGGTCTAGTGGGCCTCAATATCTTTTCAAAAATCTAACAATCATGAGTTTATGCCAAGAAAAATTGCGCTTACAGTAGCCATTGGCACGGAATTAGGGCGTGCTGGCCCAAAATGTACCGAAGACTGTAACCCCACCAAAATGGCCCCTGAGGAAAAAGTGCCCTTTTATACACTTTTTTACTCCTCTTGAGCCAAGAAATCTGTGGTAGAGAGATTAACACGCGTGTGTCTGTGTACTGATTTCGTTTGTATGAAACACGATGAACGACGATGTGTATGCGAAAAAGTCCGATGTGCAAACAGCACGGCTGCACCACTGCTTTCTGTGCGACGGATTTTGTTGAGAAGTAGACACGTTTTACTGTCAAAAGAGTTGTATAAATTTATAACCAGAGAAGGCGCAGGAGATTCTTAATAAACAAAGCATTTCGTGACATTGATATTTTCCTTTCTTACCCAAATAAAAGTATGAATTTTCATCACCCGAACCTGCCGAAAAAAATTGGAAAGACAAATTTTGGTAGCACGTTTCTTCTTAGGCAAAAAGATCTATAATTATTTACTCAATTTTATACTGTTTTCTTTTAATGATTGAACATTTTGTAATTTGTCAAATGAAATTCTAGTGAATTTAAGATTTGTCAAGTAGGCATTTCGTTTAGGATTATATTAAATAGTGAAACATGTTCGTACTCTACGTGTTTGGTTTCATTTCTTTTCTTTTTTTGTTTCTCTAGCAAGTTGTTATGAACATTCCTTTTACTGACGCAACAAAAGTGCATTGAATTAGAAACCGAAGCGAACTGGTTGCAGCATGCATCTCGTCTGATGGTGCGCGTATTCAATATAAATGGATTATTATTTGAGTAGCTAAGAAAATAAAAAAATTGAGGTTAGAACGGAAGTGTTTTTTTTTCTAGAGGAAAAAAAGCAATTGAAATATGTTTAGAAGTTGAACGAAATATCCGATTTTCTCACATACTTTTCGTAAACCATCCAAATTGTAATATAGTTCTAATTGTAACATAGCTTCAAAATAAAGCACTTTTCTAAAAAAAATACAAATAAGTCATATATTCATATCGGAAGTTTTTTTCATGTTCAAAAACAACAGTTATCCTTTAATGTTTTTTAAGAAAATTAGTCTATTTGTTCAATTTTTATAATTTGGACTATGTTACAATTTGGATGATTTACGATACTAGTTCTATTTGGTCTCTGTAATACAATACGTATGAGAGAAATAGAATAAGTATATGAGAGCAAAATGATATTCCAACTTCAAATATTGAATAGATAACATTTTCATCGGCTTTTCATTAATATTTTGTTAGTAATTTTCTAGATTCCTCTTTACACCTTTGTTCAATTTCTATCTTCTTTTTGTTCAGTGAAATATTCTAAGTGTTATGAATGTCCTTTGCATTATTTGAAAGTTTCAATCACCGTTAAAATATCACAATTCAGTTAACAAGGTCTAAAATTTTTTTTCGTCAAGCATCAATGGTTCAATAAATATATAGTTATATATTTGAATCGAAATATCCTAGTTTTGGATGTACTATTTTTGCATATATTTTTGTTTCGTTTCAATTTTGTTTTGAACATAGTTTTACATTGTTACAACTAATGTATTGATCAGAAAGAGAGGAATTTATTTGCGTTTAGTTTAAAATTTTAAGCATACCCAGCAGAAATAATAGGTTATAAGAGTGAATAAAATGAATTTGTTTGACCAACAAATCATCATTCAGCTGAGTGACTTTGAGTGTTTAGTTTAAGTTTAAGTTTTTGAATTGTGACAAACATCGGAACATCTTAAAAGAGCACACAAAAAAATACCGTGAAACCAGCATACATACACACACAAGTTCCGAGCATGTCAAGAAAAGAAGAACATTTGTCAATTTGTATTTGAAATAAATATATATGTAAATATATTCTCATTCTTCTCCTACTCTCTCAATATAAATTACTAGATTTAGAAATACAAACATTGTTTTTTTTTTGTTTTAAATTTTTGTTCATCTATATTTAATAACACGAACAGATTACTGATTATGGTTAAATTATTTCTTATTTCAGATTTTTTGTTCATTATGTCTACAGAAAATAGGATTAATAGTAGCTTTTAGCTTACAGAAAAAAATGTTCTAGCTAATTCGAAAATTCATGATTAACATGCGGATACTGATTTCAATTATACAGATTTTCAATGCAGTTTTGGAACCTGTACGATACTGCGGCGGAAATGTGTTATAAATTCGAGACGATTGAAAAAAAAAACACTTGAAGATATTTTATTTTTGTTTTTAGTGATTGTTTAAAATGATGGCGTTTCCTCTTAATTTTCTCTTTTATTATCATTATTTTTCAGCGGAATATCCTTTTTTTGCTATGATTCCATTTGCAATGGACATGTTCAACTCCGCTGTGAGCGCACAACCCAAGTAAGATTGAATTTTAAAACATTTAGGCAGTTATTTTAAGGAAACAAATGATTCAAACGTGAAAAGGAATTCAATAGTTCCAAATATAAGAAGAAAACAAATAGAAATGAAATCAAGTAGAATCGGACCGAGCATGGAACTGAAAGTTGAAACATGTTGTTTTTTTCTCTCTCTCTTTCTCCCTCTTTTGTTATATTGTGAAAAAAAAAGTTTATTTTTTAATATTCGCTCATCTTATTCCATATAGATAAAAAAAATTGTTTTCATATCTACCACGATTCGAATTTGTTTTTTCTTCCGCATTTATTTTGTTGTTGTTACTTTACACTTCATTTTCATCAATATAGTCCATTTGTTTAAAAAAGAAAACAAAATTGTTCATTCAGTCTTATCTAACAAAAAAGAAGAGCATATACATATATATGAAATCATCGTCTTTGTCTACGTTCTGTTTCGGACTTCGACACAATAATACATAATAATTCTATAAATATTTGGTTATTTGAAACCAATCGAAAAAGTTTTTTGCTAAAATTGTGAAGTTTAAGTACATATTTTCTGTTTTGTTTTTATTTTGAAAGGCTCAAATAGTTTTGGGGTTTGTCTCTATCTGTGCCATAGGCCGTTCAAATTACGTTATCTATTCTGTGCACCGTTATTTGGGTCATCAAAATCATTGTCAACATCGTCCAGTTTGGTTGAGCACGCCCTGCATTTGCAGCAAACAATGCATGGTGCTGCCAATAGTAATAGCGGTGATGCAACCAGCAATAGTATGCCAAAACTGGCAAATATTCCAATCACTTGCGCCCTGTGCCAAACAACGGATGCACGAGAGTGACCGAGCTTGTTTTTACACGGACCCTTGTCGTAGTGACGTAGTAGAAAATCATCCTGCAATAACAACACAACATTTGATAAAATAAGCGCTTTTCGTTTTATTTTATTTTCATTTACATTCACTGGGTGCTCTATATTTCTACTTACATCCAAACTTGCTAAACAGTACCAGCAGAAAACGTGTTTGCATCGTTTGCACATCATTTGAGCACAGCCTTCATCTTTTTCAATTGGGACACCGCACATTGGGCAGCATTTGATCAAGTCCGTATCAAACGGTATTCCAATGCTATCGTCAGCACCATTTGCAACCAATCGTCGTGAATTTTCCTCACATGTCATCATCGGATGCCACTTCAAAATTGAAACCACAATCAATTATTCGAATATAATTTATGGATCAAGATTCTCGTCACGATTTTGTATTCATTCAAAATATTTACCGCTTTTTTGCAACTTGAGCAGAATTCTTCAACACACGTTGGACATTTGACGGCAACTGGAGCCAGTGACATCAAGGAACCAGATTGACCAGCAATTCCCTTATCTTTTGTTTTTGGTTCGACAAGACACACTGTTTCACAACCAGCTCGAGGGCACCATGTGCGATTTTTGTCAAGTTCAATTTCTGTGAATTGATAGCGTATCAAAAGCACGAACAAAATCAAATGATGAAAACGAGTTTTAAATGTGTATTTCAGTCAAGTTCAGCTACTGGACACATTGGAAATTCATTCAACGGAAATTTACCTCGATTCAAGCGGAAACGTTTATGCTTCTCAACCAAATCGCTAGACGCCAGGGCTGCGATATCATGTTCAATATTCATAATGCCTTGGTGCGAGCACAACGCATCCGGACAAGAAATTTCATATGCACCTTCAAGAATCTCGAACTCCACATACGCTTTCATGCACTAAAAATAAAGAATTTCGAAAATTTGGATTAGGAAAATTTCGCAAAAAAAAAGAATGAAAAACTCCATCTGCAAGAGAACATAATCAATTCAATACATGCCAAGCAGTTGCTAGGCTTAAGTTGTATACTACGTCTTAAGCTGTTTTATTTTGTTAAAAAAATGTACTGGAGATTGAGCGTAACTTAGGCGTAAAATGAATAACGTTCAATCAACTTAGCAACTTCTTAGCGTATATTGAATTGATTGGTCACTCTTGGTGCGGAATTTGATCAAAATTTGCATTTTATCTCTAGAACGGAAGCTGTGTTTGTTTTGTGAATGCTTACGTCTATACAAAATTGGCAGCCGCACTGCTGAATTTTCATCATTTTGTCTGCCTTAACATCGTTTAAACATAGTTTGCATGCGAGTGTTGTCGACGGCGATGTACTTAGGGACGTTAATGATGCTCTTATCAGTGATGCTTGCTCATTTTTGTTGACATCGTCGCGAATTGATGTTGATTTTTCTGTGGAACAAAGCGATAAATTTAAAATTAGGAAATTTGTTTGGCTTGATTTTTGTTTTTTTTATATCTTGCTCAACCAGTTGTTTTGCTTGAGCATTTTTTATCTAATCTATCTAGTTAAATGTAGGCACTTATATCTTGTTATTATTTTTTTAATTTGACTCGTCATTCTAAATATTTACCTAGATTAGTTTTAATCGCAACGAATCCACCGTTCGCAATATTCAATGAATACCGTGATCCGTTAGCGGCCAGCGATAAAATGCTAGAGCAGCGTGAGCATGTAGCGACGGATTGGCTTTGCCTTAATCGATTTCTGGCTTTGATCGGTTCAAAGTTCGATGTGGTCTGTGAGTGAGATAAGGCAGATACAGTTTCGCATTTTTTCAGTCCAACATCCGAGCGCTGATGGATCAATGGCTTTGCACTGTTCTGATTCAAACTGGCGCAGCTGCCTTCGCGGCGCAGCAGTGGCACAACGCTCCACAGTCGCTGATGCATGGTTGCATTCAACGATGTGGTCGATGCTGATGAGGTAGACGTTAAGCACTTGTCATTTCGGAATAGATTATGCGCTGACGGTGTTCGAGATATTTTAATTTCAGGCGATGCCACCAGCAACGGCTGGTTGAGCTGTTGATTTTCAATTGCAAAATCATCACTTCTCGATGTGCACGAAATATCATCGCCCGAATATTTTCGGGATGTGACCGTATCGTTTGAACTATAAGACGTTTTTGTACCGTTGCTGGTGTGTGATTGAGCAACGGTGTTGACAACGCTGTTGCCAATGATTGCCGATGTGGATAGTGATGAGGCGATCGTTGGCGATTCTCGCGACACCTTGCGTCCGACTAGATTTTTAAGTAGTTGCTCGAATCGATTGTATTTTGATCCGGATGCGACTCCGTATGTAGTTGCATGATGCCCCATTTCCGGTGCATTAAACTGATTTGGTCGATAGGAAATTGGCGCGTTCTTTGATTCAGTTGATTTTTGATCCGTCGAATCGTCAACATGAGGCGGCTCGAATGAATCCTGTTTTAGAAACAAATAAACGTGTTGAATTAGTCATTCGACGTAAATGAATTGCGCAAGCATATGAAATATTGTTACCTCTGTGTCGCTATCAAACGTTGACTCACGAACGGATGGCGAACCGATCACAGCATACCACGATTTGATTTGTTTTCGCTTGGATTTGTCCGACGGGCTGAAGCCGTTGTTTCGATCGGAGTGCCAGTTGAAACTGTGCCGCTTTTTCGGCGATGAAATCGATTCGTCCGTGTGACTTATGATGGGGATGCCTTCAGTCGGTGTGGCGGTTGCTGTTTCTGCTGCCGTTGTGGTTGTTGTGGTGGTTATGCCACCGTTCGAATGTGTACCACTGTTGCACACCAATGTGATTCGTTTGCGATGTACGACCGGATTCACGTCTTTCTTTGTAAATATTAACGAGGTGCTGTTTTGCTTAACGAGTGTAATCGATTTATTTGGGCTTAATTGTATGAGCGGCGCACATTCCAAATTTGTTGACGACTTATCGCACTCGGCATCAATATCGTTTATATTGGCCGTTGTACTGTTTTTAAAGTCTGGTGATTTTAACGTCGCCGTTGTTGTCGACGTCGTAGTGTCGTTTTGTTGTTGTTTTGTTGCGGACGATGATAGTGCCGAGATCGCATCATTATTATCGTCACCAAACTGACTGGCTGTTTTATTTACACAATCGCTGCCTTGGCGCAAAAATTGTGTTTTCATACCATTCCGCTGTTCGCAGTCCTTAATTTGATTGTTATTATTCTGATTGCATCGGCTGGCTGGGACGACGTTTACACTTTTCGACGTGGACGTGGACGACGACAATGGCAACGTTGGTGACAATTCAATACACTTTTTCCGAAGTGTACTTTCTGATTCTGGCACATAGGTGGTCCAGTTTCGTGTTGGTCGCATAATTACTTATTTGTAGGTTGTGTTTGCTGCTAGTTGAATTGATTATATCAAAACATAGTACAGTGTCATCGTGTGGAACGTTTGCCTGTAGAGATGTATGTGCGCATGCAAAATATTCAAGACGCACACGAAGGTGAGAAAGAGAGAGAGAGAGAGAGAGAGAGAGAGAGAGAGAGAGAGAGAGTGAGGGATAATTAAAGTAGGAAAACAAATTGAACAAATAATGAACAAATGAAAAATAATTGCCCAAGATGTATAACCCAATCTGGCGAGACCTATTAAATGGAATCTAGTCTAACACGTGTGATGCATTTCAATTAATTGCTGGTATGTGCGTTCACTCGTAAAGCCTTCTTTTGAGTCGAAGAGGCCTCAGCCCAAATAGATAATTAAGAAGCGACTACGTGATTTTTGTCACACTTATACATATGTTGTCATTGTCACACATATTGCTAACGTCACCAAACGTGCTCCGTTTGCGGAGTGCTCAATTCGGCGAGTCAATTTGTTTAACTTTTCTACACTGAGATTGGAATTTCGCGCAATCATCGAATTTGATAGATTTACCACGCGGGAGTATTATCATTTTTCGGCGTAAAACATGACGCGTCGCGCACAATTCAAATGCATTCATCCGCTTTTTTATTCAATTGACGTAGATTGAGTGTGCACGCGTCGTATGGATTCAGTGCGTTTGTATTTCACTTGATGTTGATTTGAATTTACAACGATCTTCTTATTAGATAAATTTCAACAGAAATCGAAATAATTACCACTGACATCAGAAAAACGAACGAACGATCGAGTCGAAGCGAAAAATGATGAAATTTCCATGACTCATACAAGATCAAATTTTTCAATTGAATTCATACACTTCAACGATTCTAAGCGAGAGCCTTTAATTCATGCCGTTTCAGTGAAAATATGAACACCACTATGTTCAATAGATTGTCTGTTGTGCAAAGGCAGCTAAATGTCTGTGACGTTGATAATTTTTTTCTTTTTTAAATTTCAAACGATTTATGGAAATTCAGATTGAAAAGGTGAAAGATTTTTTTCTTCCTCAATCTTTCATTCATTCGTGTGCTTTTACTTTCGTTTTGAATTTAGCGTGAACTCTAAATTCTTTCAGTTCGTTCGTCAGTTCCAAAAGAATTCCTTCAATTCGATTTAGGGATATTCGACTTAACGTCCCAGTTGAAACACACGCAAGCGCACTGCATGACGTAACAGCGGTTCATTATACGAATCCGGATATTTATGATTTGAATGATTATGAAATCTTTAATAATGAGATTCTTTATACTTCGATCGAAATAGGAAATCAGTTTATGAAAAACGTTATTGTTCATTACGGCTAAATATATACATTAAAGTAGTGGTGGAATGGCTTAATGGTGCTGCAACAGCGAAAAGCAAAACAGCAACGATTTGTTTGTTCGCGTTGAGACGTTCTCGCTAAGTTTGTGTGTTGTTTACTCATTTTTTTTCTTCTTGTTTTGTTTTGTTCAGAAGTATCGAGAAGTAGAACGGTGTACAGTGCTTAAGCGTTTAGCAAGCCACTGTGACGACAATCAATTTTTAGATCACCTTTCTCTTTCCACATTACATATCCAGTTTCAGCGGTTGTTTGTGTGTTTTTTTTCCTTCATCCGGACTATTTTCAGACTTGTACACAGAGAGATAAGAGACCTGATTCAGATCGACGTTTGGTCACATTGCTTTTTTTTCTCTTTCTGTGTATTTCGTTCTGCTTTGTATTTCAGATTCAACCATTAAATGATGCCGTATGGCAATAAGGAACAACGACAATATTCTTTCCGTCACCATTGCATGACGAGCAACTGAAAAAATCGAGTTGAGAAAAAAAAATATGAGTCATAAAAGACACTTCGGACTTTATCCAGTAAATGATTTTTTTTTTTTTAATTCGCCGTTTATTTTTATTCATCTCTACACTTTATGTGATCCGTCAATCAAATCAAACAAACTCTGTTAAGATCGTAATCGACATGAAATGAACTCCCTAAGCGTTTGTTCAATATATGCGCATTTTCCCCCGTGTGTGTGAGTGAGTGAGTGAGTGAGTGCTCTTCGCATTTCGAACATAAGCGGCAAACAACAGTTTGTTACTTTTCAATGTCAGTCAAAATCAATTGGTTTGATGAAACTGCAAATGGCGTTTGGCAAATTGCTAGAATCGTAAACCGCATGAGAAGGCAAAGATGGTAAAACAATTAGTTGGATTTATTGCACAGCAAAAAAAAGTAGCACCAAGGAAAACATATGACCTCCCAAGTTCTTGAGCGAGATTATATACAAACACACGCGCAGACACCGGCCATTTGCATACAACACAGAAAGAGACGAAAAAAAACGAAATATGTGGTGTAACGATGAAAATTCAATTCGAGTAGCCAAATGTTTGTAACAACGTAATATTGCTAATTGTTTTACTAGAGTTTAACTAATTCGAGTTCTAGTTGCCATCATTGCCGTGCACACGCCGGCGTCTACTTTTGCATTTGCGAACAAGATTCTGATTTCATTTTGTTTTTCAAATCTCTTTAAACGGGCTGGAAATAATTAAAAATTTACTTGAGATTATCTGCATTCACAACAAGTAGAACAACTTCAAAAGCGACTTTGTTAAAGCAATGACGCACTTTCAGGATCTTGTTGCTTTGAAACGATACGGGCTGCTGGTGCTTTGCGTTTGTTTTTTATTGCATAACTTATTGTTCTTGCCCATGAATTACACACGGCAAATTACTTAATTATTACGATATTCTTTCTTCGTTCTTTAAATTTCGCGCGCACAACAATGAAAATGTCATTTTGAGTGAAAAACAAAACGCACGGTACGTATTTCGTTACACCGAAATTGGGTTGGAAATTTTACCAACTGTTTAATGGTAAGGTTTGATTTGTCATCGATTTTTAATCACTCAATATTTTGTGTACTTGGCATTTCCATCGGTATGCATGGACACCTATTCTATAATAAGAATCGAAATGTCAGTACAAAAGTAAACGCAAAGCAATCGTTCGTTCGTTCGCTTGTGTGGTCAAAATTTCATTTCGTTGATTTCGCAGAAAAATAATCGGATTTCCGATTAGATTATCAGATTTGAATTATCTATTCATTTGAATTTCAAATCATATATCGTGGGTCTTGCATAGAAATAAAATGCTGGTTTTAATCAGTTTCCGTTGGGAATTTTCTGATAATGTGTCCACATACACACACAGACAGCCCCACGTTTTTGCGTTAGAATTCATTTACTGTCCACCGGTTCAAGTTGTTGTGCGACTTTGGTCGCTGCAAAATTATTCATAACCAGCTAACAAAGCGCACACATAAAAGAACGCGTCAAACAGCGCGCGCTGGGAATTTAAACACGTGTATCGATTATATTGTTGAACGCTTTTTTTGCGAGAAGGACGAGAGAGCGATGGAGTTGTGTGCGATTTGTGTGGCGTGTGAATGCCATTGAAAAATCATCATAATTAAATTAAAGCGTATTTTTTTTAAGTACTTCTTTTCCAGTAGGTACTAAGAGGCGACGGAGCGCACTTATACTAGTTACTCAAAGTAGTTTTATCGTGTAAAACAAGTGTTCTTCTCTTGCTCTTCATTCGGTTGCGTTTCAATCTTGATATTATGCTCATTCTCTGGCTGGCTTTGGATGCCTTTTTTCGTTTATTGTTACTTTGATGATTGCGGTAGTGACAATGTGATGTTTTATTTGCGCTCAAGGCTTTTATCACACACGCGGCCATAAATTCTATGTATGCGCATGCAAAATGGACTACCAAAAGGGAAATATCATTTTCGAAGTGCACTACAGTAAATCATTGCGTTTCGGTGTTATTTTGGGCGCAATCAATGAAATGGCACGGTAGTACAATGACTTACACGCAAAGTGTCGTAAAATGCGCATATATATATATATATATATATATTTCACCTTATTCCGAAGACTTATCGATATATTTAGTGTTTTAAATATTATTAATTGCAAATAACTTCTTACCATTTTATGTTCGCGCTCAAAAGCAGCACCACTGATTTTCAACAAGTGAGATCACTCTGAAATGGAGGGAAAAAAGAAGAAAATACACATTAATCAAAACGCACCAGTTGGTGACATGCAATATGGTATAGGTTTTGAAACGTTGGTCAGTCTACACGTTAATTATTGTCAATAAAGGACTGCGTATGACAGCCATAAAGTGAATATCAATATCAATATTATTGTTATTTTTATTTTAGTTTCTTAATTTTTGTACAGTGTCTGTGACCAGAGAGAGAGAGAGAGAGAGAGAGAGGGGAGAAAAAAACATATCTTCTGCACCGCAATGAATCTAAAATCTTTATTATCGCATGTGTGATAAATGGCACATTAACGTCATGATGTCGAGATCAAATTACTGCGAGACAGCGAATGTCATAGATTTATCATGGAAATGTGACATCTTAAGTCAACAATTTGCGTTAAATAATTTGCACCAGCTGAAATGGCCGAAAAAAAGAGAGACTAAACATTGGCATGAATAATATGACCAATCAAAGTTTAACCGATATCTTTAGCGTCAACACGAATCATGCATCCGAAATGCTTACACAACACCGCTCGACATACATCGAAAGGGCAAAAATTAATTATATTCTTGTGTGCATTTTTTTTGGTTTTATTGTTGACCAAAAACCAATAAATAATGTATGGTTGACGCGATAAAGTCACACACTGATAAAGTCACATCCCTCACATTAACACACACACATGCACATACACTTCAGCTCTAGACGATAAGTTGAGCTTGATCAATGAAAAACAATTAAAACCGTTGACTTTTTGTGTCTCAATCTCAATCTTGATCACATAACAAAACCAAAACCGAAGTGCTAACAGAAAAGCAATATCGAAGACCAGCGAATGACTAAAGTAAATGGAACTCAATTGAAAAAGTGAATACCCGTGCTCGCTCACACACTCTCGCACACCAAATTTCACAATAAATAAATTATTCACTCTTTATCGTCGTAATTTGTGTCGCAGGAAAAAAAAAACACACGCGCGCGCGCGAACACAAAGATGGTTCAGCATGTGTTTTTTTGTACTTTAACAAAGAATAACAATGAGATTGGCCATAAAACAAATATGTGTCATCATTGCTAGCGAATTTTAATTACATAAGTCGCTGTTGATAGGTTCCATGGACCGTTCGTCGAGAAAAGGTAACATTCATCGCACATTCTTTGTGCATTCATGAAGTAATTAGGTGTTATTTGATCTTGGGGAGACTTTGCGGGTGCGATAAACTTATCTAAAGACGCATAACACAATGCAGTGTGTCTTTGTATCGTGTACATTCACTTATCAGCTCAAATTAATCGTTGGTTTTGCAAATTTAGATAAGGAAATGAATCAGAAAATAGAGATAGTCATCGAAACCCGCTGAATTATTTTCAGCGGGTCCGACGATCGCATGAAATTGCCACAAATATGACAAAACATACAATAATATTTTTTATCTAGATTCGATCTTTTTCTATCTTTCTCTCTCCACTCTTTCTCTCGAACTCTGTATATCTTTTTATAATTATCTCAATTAAATTAGCGGCTATTATAGTTTGATTGTTTTTCGATAATGTTTGCATATTTGCAACACAAGCAGAGGAAAAAAATGCATGCCATATTCGGCCCGCAGTTGTCATGTAAGAAAAAAAATAATTTTTCACTTCAACAGCGCCAAAAGTCAAACAGCGGCATGAACTAAATAGCACGTTGTTATGTGCTACTAAAGCTTTCTACACAGACAAACGAATGTCTACTCTTTGCTCGTTGTTAATACTTAGCTCGCTAGCCATTGTGGGTACTTAGATGGGGCAAACTATGAAACGGCCGTAATCTGTGTTTGTTTAGGCGAACAATCGCATGATACATGCAATTCGTGTAGAAAAATGTAGCGATTTTTTAATTACCATCGAAAGACATCGACTCCGCTTTAATTGAATCGTTTGCTGTTTATTCGCTGGGTAATTGGTTTTTTTTTCTCTCCGAGTGATTGGAAAAAGTACACCAACAATATGCACCGTGCACATAGAGTGAAATTATGTGGGCAATTGAACTAATCGAAGCGAAATGGTTTCAAATCACAGAGAGAAAATTCGGTGTGTCTGTCATTTTTGTGTGCACGTTGCACGGGGGATCGTGCAAAATGTCATAACAATTATTCGTAATAACACACAAAAACCGAAACCACAACAACACACAGACACACAAACGACTTGAGTGAAACGCGGAAATTATATGTACAGTTCACATGACCCATTCTCCATGCTTGATTACCCGGTGCCGATTTGTTTTTTTCTCTTCTTTTTCTCTATCTTCCTCGTCGTGTTAGCATTTCATCACGCCGACGATACACGCGCGCACACGTTGTACATGCATTTTACGTTCTTTCCAAACAATTCACATGATTCATAGAATGCCCAATAGCTCATTAGGCAAACGCAATTCGTACTTAAAACCATGTTAAATAATTAGAACCGTTCTGTTTCCATAGCTCAAACATAGTGTTTCTTCGTCTCTTCGTTTCTTTTTCCTTTTTTCTCTTTCTGAGTGTGCTCTTCTCATTTATGATATGTAAACAAACAGCGCCGATTTTCTCCTCCCAGGAAATGAAGTGGGCATTGGGCAAAGAAGCGGCATTTCTAGAACGCATCTCACAATCGCATGTGTTTGTCTAAAATTAAACGATTTCTTATTCACAATGTTTTGTCCCGAGCGTTCTTATTGTTTTCGCTCGCTATTTATATTTTCTGCAAAATTCACAATTTTATTCGCATTCTTCGAAAACTATCGACCCACACATGCCCAAACTCTGCGACACTACAGAGAGAGAGAGAGAGAGAGAGAGAGAGGAAGAGAGAGAAAGAACGCATGTGATGAACACAAAAGAAGCAAGGGGAGCATGAATGAGCGAAAGGAAGAGAGCCCATTTGAGTTGAAACTTCGTAAAAATGGTATATCTGTACAAATTTCAAGGTTAAATCAAATCATCGCACAACGTCGCACAACTAATGAATATTCTCTCTATGAAAACGCAGACTACAGCAACAACAACAAGACAATCGACGACGTTGTTAACAACCACGACAATCGAACAACTATTACACACATACTAAAAAAAAGTGACACACCATAAGTCGTGCGACAAAATCATCACATTTCTGTACAGTTCAATCGCATAGCGATTCGCTTACAAATAACAACAATTGCATATACCAACGATATACACCTTAAAATGATGAATTTCGAGAAAACAAGCGTCGTCCAACGACAAACACGCAGTTGACTATGATTGTCTGAAAACTTGGCATGAATTTTTTGTTTCGCTTCTTTTTTTTTATTCTATTCATTTAAGTGGAAATGAAGCAAAGCGGCAACGAAACTACAATAACAACAAATGAACAGAATACTAAACACATAAATTAATTATATATATATATTTGAACACAGTTGCAAACACAAATGTCACGCATATTCAACAGGTAACTATTGAATCGCAGCCATTTGAAAAATAAAAATAGCTTATATTTTTAATGGAGGTTTTCTCAACACAGAAGCACTTACATATCGGCAATGTTAAGACACTCGTTTCATCGTCAATTTTTTTCTCTCTCTCTCTCTCTCTCTCTCTCTCTCTCTCTCTCTCTCTCTCTCTCTCTCTCTCTCTCTCTCTCTCTCTCTC